GTGTGTGTCGGGGGAGGGAGTAGTGAATGGAAGGAGAGAGCATCTGCACATGAGTCTGAGAACTTCAAGGGTGGCTTCAATAGGGTACCAGCCTCTCTGTGCTCACAGGTCTCTCCACGGACAGACAAGCTTTTCTGATGAATAAGGAGGAAGTCTTAGGCTGGGAGCCCTGATCGCAGAGTGGGAAGGCAGTGCTGGAGATGAGAGACACTGGTCTTCATGTATGATGCTCCTGCCTTTTTATCCTGTAGACCACAGTCGGAGGAAGGGTCGGGTTGGATATATTCTATGGGGACCTGGCTCATTATGCATCCAATTTACTTTGGGGGCCTCTTCTGGGACACCCTCTTTCCGGCTATCAGACACACAGCCTTGTCTCTGGGTTACTTGGCAAAGTCACAGCAATCTTGGGCTGATGGCGTAAATAACATATTGACAGTCAGGAGATGGGAAAATTGGGCTGCCGCTAGAAGATAACGCAGTTGAGATTTTCAGTGACATCTCCATTGCTTCACTTCTGCCAAAGTCTCTCTATTGTAGTTAAAATTGCTCAGGAAGCGACTGGGGAGATAAAGTCAGTACAGTGCTTGCTACAGCCAGCATGAGGACCTGCACTCAACCTCCGGCTGCCACATAAAAAGCCAGGCATGGTGGCTGATGCTTGTCATTTCGGCACTGGGGACGAAGGTACTGGTGGATCCCTGGTAATCGTTGGCCTGTGATTCTAATTTACTTGGGGAAACCTAAGCCAGTGGGACACTCTGTCTCAAAGTATAAAGTAGATGGTTCCTGAAGAATGCCACACCCAAGATTGACCTCTGACTTCCACATACAATACAGGTACGCACACATCTACATGTGTTCACCCATACACACACATACACCTGCACAAGCCCCCCCCCCCCACCACCACTAAAGAAGATAAAACAGGACCAATTCTGAAGGCTCATTGGCTACAGAGGGACTCAGGCACTATCTGTAAACTCCTAAGCCACTCATATGCTCTTGAAAGGCAGTCATACTCTGAGGGGGTGCAGCCGTGGTCCCCTTTTCACCTGGCCAAAGCCCTATCATCATCTCTTCCCAAAGCCAGCCTTTCCAGACTGGATGGATAAATGAGTGCTCCTGACTTACCAGACACCACTGCGCTGATTTTTCTAGTCACTGGTGTCTCTTGATTATTCGCTCTGAAAGAAAAAGGAGATACCAGGCATGATGGTACACAGTCATAATCCCAGCACTCAGGAGGCTGAGGCAGGAGGGTTGTGAGTTGGAGGCCTGTCTGGACAACATAGTGAAATCCTGTCTCAAAGAAAAAAAGAAGAAAAAAAATCTCACCTGGATACAGTATCTCATGGGAGCATGGATTAGGAAGGTTTTTCAGGTAACAGAAAGTTAGGGAGTTTTTTATTTTAAGTTCTAACTTTTTAGGTTAGCTCAAACCACAGAGTCTGTCTCTACTCTTCCTGCACTGAAGGAGAAATGAGAGTCAGTTCCAGGACCACAGTCCCTCTTCCCACAGAAGGATTTGCTTATTGTCAGGAAGTCACTGCATCTTGGAGAAGGACCGGAAAGGCCTGGCGTCTGTCCCTGGTCACTTTTCGGCGCAGAGAGCCCCTGTCACAGCCAGAGCATGCTCATCCGTGTTTTTCGGGCCTTCCAAAAAACGGGCAGGCAGGCAGGCTGAAGTTCTTAGTGGAACTGGGGTTAGTATGCTCAGACGGTGCTACCAGAGGTCAGAACAGATTTCTCCCGACTCCAACAGGAAGTCCAAGCTGTAAAGACAACTGAGGAAGCAAATAAGGACAGAATATTCACAGGAACCCATGGGTGGGCCCCACCGGACAGCTGGCTTTCTCCATCCACTCTCGCTTACTCAGGCCAGCCCTCACACATGGCTTAGTTTGGCCCATAACTTTTGTTTGTTTCCTCCAGGGAGGGTAGAGAAAACGGAAGGAAAAACACTATTTTACTTAATAACACAGTCATTATGTTTTTATACTATTTTAAAACACTGCACGGTTCATCCACGTACCGCACAGTAAATAAGTTTCACAATAGCCATGTCTTCTGACTGCATAATGCTGATATTGTCCTTATTCTATAAACAAGGGGAGCGAGGACAGAGAAGTCAGGTGGTCACTCCCTCAGCTGGTGACAGAAGGGATGGCCAACCCAGTGACCAGCGAAATATACATTCTTTTATTTTTCCACCACTGGATTCGGGCTCTGCTTTTTAGTGAGCCTGTCCTTGGACCAGACAGACTGTGATAACGCGCAGCTACAGAATAGAGTAGACGTTCTATTGGTACCTAGCTAAGGAAGAAAAGTACAGAGCACATCAAGGTGACTGTAGCTAATAAGAATTCACACTTCACGATTGCTATAAGAATGGATTTTAAGCCGGGCGGTGGTGGCGCACGCCTTTAATCCCAGCACTCGGGAGGCAGAGCCAGGCGGATCTCTGTGAGTTCGAGGCCAGCCTGGGCTACCAAGTGAGTCCCAGGAAAGGCGCAAAGCTACACAGAGAAACCCTGTCTCGAAAAACCAAAAAAAAAAAAAAAAAAAAAAGAATGGATTTTAAAATGTTCTCACTACCAAGAAAGGATAAATATGGGAAGTCGTGGATATGATTAATGAGTCTGATATAATCATCACACAAAGTATATGTATACTGAAGCACCACATTGGACCCCATAGGCACAGGCAATTGCTGCCTGTCAGCTAAAATGAAAGGATATTTTTAAAACAAGGCAGCCCATAATTGCTTGATCTGTGTGTTCTCCATAGTTTATATATCATTCCTATTCAAATGTGGATTTGCATTCATGTAGATAAGTTCCGGCAGCGGCGGTGTATATTTACATATCCACTAGAATCTATTTGCTGTTGGGAACCAACCCTTTTCTAGGAAGGATTTTAAGGCAGTGAGCATAGTTCACCTCGCAAAGAAAGGCCGAGCAGCATTTTGAACAAGGAGCAGACTTGGAAAAGAAGCTTCACAGAAGCGCCAACCTGAGGCCCTGGAATGGGAGGGTGAGTTTAGCAGCTGTCAGGCCAGATCAACTCAAGAGTGGGAAGTGGGTTGAAGGGAGGGGTTCTGTCTGAGAGGACAAAGCTGGACATGCAGGTCCCCTTTGTGGAGCTGCTTCTCTTACAGGGCGCTGCCCGTAAAACCTCACATGCCCTGCCACCTCATCTGACGAAAGGAGAGTGCTACCTACCCCTGGCACAGGACTCATTTCTAATTCAAGTGCATTACTGGCTCCTGAAATAGCCCTGCTTAGAAGTCACTAAATAACATAGTGCTTCCAGCAGCTTGTCTGAGCACTCCTGGAATCCCTTTCAAATTCACAAGGGCGACCAAGCCTGCCTCTCATTTCTATAGAGGGCTGAGGAAAAGCCCAGGCATAGCCCCCCTACAGTACAGAACTCCTGAAAGAGCCGCTGGTGTTTTAGAGCAAAAGCTGTTGAGGGTTAAGGTGTCTTTTTTGGATTACCCAGGGTGCGGGGAGGGAGTTGACATTCATACCTGTTCAACTCTTCTGGTAGTTTGAGGAAAAGGCAGGGTGGGAAATCTTCTAAGAAATCCGGCATCATCCACCAGGGATGCCGATGGCTCAGAAGACCCACCTTTGTCTAGACACGCTTTTCAAATGAGGGATCGCGGCATTTTATTCAGGGAGTTTCTGACCACCTCAGAAGCGGATGCTGGGAATTTCACAAAGACAGAGCAAACACAAGTCCTAAGGAAGAGCATGGACACTCTGCCCTTCCTTCTTGCCCTGCATAGAACTTCTTGAGTCAGTCCATCCCAGAAAAGGGTCTGTGTTCGGAGAACCCCAAAGCTGTTCTAGCTATGGCAGCTGACTAGCCCGTTGGCCTTGGGCTAATTGACTTAATTTAGGATTGGGTTACTATGACCTAACTGATGTGAGCCTGTCTGGGCATGGGGACATGTGGGCTGTAACCTGAAGGAGATTTATTCATTAAGAGAGGAGAGAAAACGCTGGTAGAAATGGAGTCCAGATCTGAATGCCTGAGTGGTGAGCCTGGGTAGGTAAGCCCTGGACCTTCCAACAAGCCCTCGGGGTGCTTCCCGTGGATCTTGAGAGACTACGCCGCCTACTTTGGCCCAGAGCTACAGAGGTGGAGCTTGGGTGGTCTTTAGACGAGGCCGTGGATGGATTAGGGGAGAGTGTAGTAATGATGTCTGTGCTCATCATTTTCTCATCACGGCAATCTTCAGGAAAGCAACTTAGTATGCTCACTCTCTTATGAAGTGACATTTCATCATTCCGTCATCAAAGCCCCAATCCTCAGCACGGCTTCTCCATTCCTGTGCCGTTCACCCAACCCTTTCCCCAGACCCCTGCTCTCCTGGATCCCTGTCACATAGCCTCAAGGTCTTCACTTCCGCTCCTCTCCGACAAGCTCCTTGTATCCCAAGCACACCCTGACTCTTTACTTTCTATTTCTCCTTCCATGCTCATCTCAAATGGGACTCCCTCCTGCGAGAAGACCCTGCACTCTCCTCTTCACCCCTACTGGATCAGATACAGGCTCATTCTCTGCTCCCAGAGCAGCCTGCTCTGTTTCTCTATGGCTTTGGTTGATAGTTATATATTAACTGGTGCCTGCTGGATTAACCCCAGTCTTTCCCACTAGGTTATAAATACATCTTTCACTTGTCACTGTATCTAAGACACACAGCAGACAATGATCGACCATGGACATTGCCGCTACCCAGACTGCTTTAGAGAAGCATTAATATCTGTGAACAAAACACATGTATTCTTTTCATTACGTTTGGTTCAGAACGTTGGGAGAATTTGGCAAGAGATAAGCCCCCAAGCTGCCCTGGTTTCTTTTGTTGAGAATAGACCACGGTTTGAACGCATTCCACCGGCTGCCGCGGCTCTGAGGACTGCGCAGAGAAAAGGGAGAGTCTGTGTGTGAGGGCTCAGGTCTGACGGTGGTATCCACTTAAGACACTTAAGAAATATGCTGACACTGGGGCCTTGTCTCCTCAATGCACGAGAGACCCCCCCCAAAAAAAAACCCCAAAACAAAAAGAAACAAAACAAAACAAAAACCAAAAAAACAAAAACAAAAACAAAAAACAAAAAACCCTGCTTTTGAAAACAATGCATTCATACAGAGCCAAGAATGTCCTGGAGTCAGGAGCTCAACCTTCTTCACTCAGCCGGGGAGGTCCTTGGTCTCAGATGTGTGAGCCAGAGATCTGCTATTTAGAGATCACTGCCCAGGTCCAGCCAGCTGGCCTTGGCCTCACACTTAGTGTGTGTGGCAGGAACTTGGGAGACACCCGCAGAAGCAGAGGATAGCGAGGCAGACAAGGCTGAGCACTTAGTGAGTAGTTCTAGGCTGCACAAAGAGAAGAGGGTGATAGCGGGGGTGTGTGGACGGGTCCCAAGCTGGGGTAGGGGGGCGGTTCCATGCATTTTCTCTGCAATGAGAATGATGCCTTTGAGCATGTATCTATCATTCAAGAAGTCTTCCTGATGTCATGTGTAATAAAGGAGTTGAGACTTGGGATACCTCGATGACTACATGACTGCATTCGGGGCAAATATGATTCCCCATTTTCAAGCCCTGAGAAATGAGACGCAGTTCGATTCTGCATTCCAACCAGATGTTGCTTCACCGTACAGAATCTCTGCGTCTCAGGCAATCTCACTAATCCAGGATGCTGTGGAATAATCACTTTATTCTTCCGACTGAATTTAGCCCCCATTCCAATATTATAGTGTAAGTCTTTGATTTTGCTTGAAATTATCTTCCCTGTTGTCTAAACCAATCTCCATTGAAACACAAGCCCTCCTTTCTGAATTTTAAGCAGCTCTGTCTACTTATCTGCTGTCCATTTAAGTAAAACTTCCAGAATAAAAGGCACAGGACACAGCTACCCCAGCAGCAATTACTCCCCACAAAACTCAGAGACTAGGGATGAAGCTGAATTGTCTTTGGCTGTCATAGCATCTCTTTTTAAGGGCAGCCATTTCCCCTGGGAGAGTCTGCTTCTTTCAGCAAAGGCAAAACAAGACAAGATCAAGGCTGTCTTCCCAAGGCTGCAAACAGAGCAGGCACCACCTTGAAGTTGGCCTGCCTTTGACCCTCTTAGAAGCCAAGATAGCAACAGAGTGCCCGCCTTGTGTTCTCTGTA